AATCGGACTTTATTTCAATTTTTCCAATTAGATACGCCTGTAGAAGCCGTCTGGCAGATGCGACACTACTTAGGTTAGTTCTCCTGGCGCCAGGATCATGAAAGATCTTAAGCTTAAGTCAAAATCTTCATGTTGTATTTAAATGTTGTTGAGGCCAAGGAGATAAAATTTGAAATATCTTTCAAAAATGATTTACATGCAAGTGTCGTTATTTGTAAAATTTGAAATCAATTCAATAATTAATAAATATTTTACATTCATCTGAAAATTTGACTTAAGTCTAAGTCTGTTTCATGATCCTGTGGCCTGTGAATTCACCATTTAGTTTCACGAAGAAAATTATTCCAGTGATAAAGTGTGACAAATTCAGTAACTATGTCATTTATATGCAGAATTGATATGGAGGCATTCTCAAGTAGTATTAGAATCCAGGCCCACCCACCCCACCCCCTCAGTAAACTTTTCAATTCTGATCAGATTTGTGTTTTTTCCTAGCTGATATGCTCAGGTGAGCGATGTGGCCCCTGGGCCTCTTTTTTAATTTTGGCCTAACTCTATCCCTGGAGGTCATGATGTCAACAAATTTAAATCTACACTACCTAAAGATGCTTTCAAATAAATATGACCAATCATGGATGTGTTGTTCTTGAGAAGATTTTTAAATGTATGTATTACTATGGAAAAAAAATCGTCCATTGTAGGCATACCCTTCTCGGGGGTCACGATTTCAACAAACTTAATTTTACACTAAGGATGCTTCTTTATAAATATGACCAATCATGGCTGTGTGTTCTTGAGAAGAAAATTTCAAAAGATTTTCCCTATGTACTCCTTTGAAAAATATTTTATCGTCCATTGTGGTCTTAACCCTACCTCTCGGGGTCATGATTTGAACAAACTTGAATGTACACAATCTGAGGATGCTTCTCCATTAGTTTCATCTTTCCCGACCTAGTGGTTCTTTAAAAGAAGATTTTTAAATTAACCAAATTTTCACCATTACTTATCTCCTCTTGAAATAGTGCTTGGTTTTTGCATTTGAATAAACATTAATTCCCTTCACCCAAGGATGCTTCCGGCAAGTTTGATTAAAATTGACACAATGGTTTTGGAGAAGAAATCGGAAATATTAAAAGTTACAAACTGACGGACAGACAAATTGTATTCCAAAAAGCTCACTTGAGCAAAATTTTTCTTTTGTTTTGAGAATATCCAATATATATCCCCTCATTATATTGAATTTGAACGTGCACAATGGCATTGTTTAAAACCTCCGAAGTCTAGAAATGTAGTTTGAAAGATAAAAGCCGATGCGTAAGTTATTGAAAATAATTGAATGCCATGAAAGAAAGAAATTCCTCCCAAAAAAGAACGAAAAATATTCCTATATAATTGGATGTGCTGCGGATAAAGCAAAAAGATATGTCTACCCCCAAAGCACGAGGAAGAATTTCGCGATGTCCATAAGTCAATAACATTTACATTCCTGATGGAACGTATGCAGCACTACCGTTTAAGCATACTTTTTAGCGATTGTTTAATTTTGGCGTTATTAGCGGTGCTGATATCGATAAAAAAGAATATCGCTGGAAACTATTTGCGATTTATTTGTAATAGCTTGCTTACTGGTCATTTTAAAGTCGCTAAAATAATTCCTAGCAATAATAAAATTTTAAAAGGCGTTTCCCTTATTCAAACGATATCAATGTTATATAGGATCAATAATCAAATTATTGCGGTACACATATGTATTGTTTTGAATGCTTTTCGTTCATGCTTTTTTTTTTTGGAATTTCTTTATTTCATTGCATTCAATTATTTGCAATAATTCTCGAGATTTCACACAGATAATATTTGCAAAATGAAGTTTTAAAAAATATATGTTACCTTTACTTTGTAACTGATATTGCAAAAAAACAATTTTATGACAAAAATGACAAATTGAATTACCTCTGCTTAACCATATATTGATTATATGAAGATTATATACTTCAAATAATAAAATATTTCTTTTAATTTACATTGAGTTAAAACTTGGTTTTTTTAGCCATCAAAACGCCTTCCATTTTTTGAATCTTCGTAGTTTTTTTTTTTTTTTTTTTTTTTTTAGATAAGATGAGTTTTTTTTATTTATATTTTCGCGTGAAAAATCATGATATCAAACAAAATACTTGACAAAATTTTAAATTAAAATCTTTGTCTAAGCCCTTATAAGTTGGCAGGGTTATTAATCTCATTCCAGAGAGCACTTTGGTACAATTTTTCCATTTGGTTAACTGAACAACATACAAGCTATAAATATATCATGCATCATTAAGATGATTTTCTTTTCAGGAATATTATTTTAGTTTTGCCAAATACCTATGACAATTTTGAGTCACTTTGCAAAAATATATTTTCATTTGCTGTTTCAAAGTTTCAAGTCTTCCTTTTAATCATCCTTTGTTATAAGTACAATCCAGTAAAACTACAGTCTCGTCAGAGATTTCTTGTTTTTTCTTTATAAGTGTAACGAAGTTCCCTTTCTACAATGTTGGTGTCTAAAACGTCGAAGATATGTAAATTCTAGGGATCGGAAGATTATACGCCATTCTCAAATTATCAATTTTAATATGCTTTAATATTCACTAAGAAATTGGTGCTACTCGTAACGATAATTTAAAATAGGTTTATAGTTAAGTCGTACGTAAGTTTGATCAAGAGTTTAAGTTGCGCAGCAGGTTCTATTTTGTTTGGTTCACATAACCTTTAATTTCCTGTAAGACTTTGTTTATTTTGATCAATGAAACGAAGTCACAAACAATTTAAGGATGGTTTTGTGGATATTAATTCTATCAAGTTTTTCTTTTTCTTACGAATATGGTAAGTTTTCAAAACAAAAAATAGAATAAAATTTATAGATAAATTCAAATAATCTACCTACATGAATCTAAATAAAATATCAGTCATTGCATTTTTAATCTACGACGTTTTAAGTAGATGTAATAAAGATAAACTAACATTTTCCAAAATGGACAGGTATCCGCTTATCAAAAGAGATCATTTATTATTGTAGGTCAACTTGATATTTTATTTTAATTACTTTATTCTGAAATGCTTCCCTCCCCAACTTTTCTTCTTTTTAAATTTTTATAAACAAGGTACATGTAGGTGAAGAAATATCACAGTTCATAAAAGTACATCATTTTGTTAACCGAGTTCCTAGATCACATATTTTAATGCTTACTCTATTTCTCCCCTAATGTTTTGTGACAATCCAGAAGAATTATACCTTTTTATTGGGAGAAAAGGTTAATCTAGATATGTTCAAAGACCACGTCAATCCGTCATTGACAGTAAAATTTCAGATTCAAGGGATTTAATAAGAAGCATCGACAAATATATATGGAGGTAACGAACAGTACTCAAGATCAAAAGTCCTCACACAATACAAATAGGAGCAGAGAAAAACGGACCTTTAAAACATCAGATGTTGGATCAGGTGTCATGGAAGAGTGAGCATCCCATGCCGCCCGGTAAAACCCGCCGTGTGCTTCTTGTCATGTTCCGGAAATAACAGGAAAATACGTGTTCAATTCAGTTTAAATAATGGACTAACAATTAGTAGGAAAAGTCAATGATAAATTGTATTTGCTTACAAGGTAATTGTATCGACCAAAGAACTTACAAAATAATGACTTTAATTGAGACTGCTAATATTTGTGTTTCATCAACTTTTTTGTAAATACTTTACCTCGTATTAGAAATCTTGCGTATCGAATCGATTGATGTGTAAACTCCGTATGCAGGTGATGGAGGTATAATGCTGCATTAGTAAGGGAAGTTGACAATAGAAAAGTTAAAGTCATCACGTTTATAATAGAGCTTGGTTGTAAGATTAAGATCAACATCTTTTACAAGTAAAGTATCCAAATATGAAACAGATGTGTCAGACAATGTGATATATATTATCTCAAGCTCAGCAGTATATATCTAATCCACATAAGAATAAAAATTAACATTAATCATTGACAAAACGTCGTCAATATATCTAAATTTCGCAGGCCAACTTAGATTAGATGTCAACACAACTGTGCTTCAAGATTTAAAATTAGATATAACATTGTACAGAATCTGACTGGACATTTTACTTTTTATTTATTCCCTTCCTTACAACCTAAATCTTCAGTTTAATTCAAGAAAATCATATTCTTATTTGAAGACGTTTTTAGAGATGAATGATGATTGTTTTATATAAATTCACAATTAACATATATAACTTAGGTACTAGCACTAGGGAGGTGCATGAATAAACTAAAATATACTAAATGAGTTTTCAACGATTACCGTTATTACTTCTGAAAAAAAAAAACAAGAGCATGCATTACCTATATAGAAGAAATTAATTTAGGTAATGATTTTCCTTGTTTGTTATTCAAGTCAATAGGAAATTTATGATATGCATTGACTTGATTCTTTATCATTAATTGCTATAAAATTAAATATTAAGAAAAAATCACCTTCAAAACTGTTTTCAAATTGTACAAATCCTAGATTTAACAACACTATCCTGATTATGTTAAATGAAACAGCACTATCTTGATTATGTTAAACATAGCAACAAAAGATTGATAATGTTATATGTAACAACAATAGATTGATTATGTTAAATGTAATAACAAAAGATTAATTGATTATATTAAATGTAACAACAAAACATTGATCATGTTAATTAAATGTAACAAGAAAAGATTGATTATATTGAATGTAACAACAAGAGATTGATTATATTAAATGTAACAACAAAAAATTGATTATGTTAAATGTAACAAAAAAAAATGATTATGTTAAATGTAAAAGCAATAGATTGATTATATTAAATGTAAAAACAGAAATTGATTATGTTAAATGTAACAACAAAAGATTGATTATGTTAAACGTAACAACAATAGATTGATTATGTTAAATGTAACAACAAAAGATTAATTATTTCAAATGTAATAACAAAAGATTTTTCTCGGATGTATAGCAACACAGGTTAGACGACATGAATTTTTTGTGCAATATATTAACAGCAACAAGCAAAATTTAATAATCATAAATATGTTTTATTTTTGAAGATGACTTGTCGTATGGTAAGAGATCAGAACAAAGTTCGTCTTTTGCCTGTAAACCTGTATCGGCCTGCTTGGCAAGTAATGCAGTAGACAGAGACATCAGTACTTGTATGAGGACTGAATACATCGGTCTTCACTCAACATATAAAACAGTGTGGTGGTATGTGAATCTGGGAGATGTGTACAGTGTGTACAGCATCAGGGTTTTGTTTAGGACTTACGAGAAACAATATGGTAAGTTTTTTTCATTTTATTTTAGAGGAACATGGTATTAAATCCAGTGCCCTTTCTAATAAAGGTATAGATAAGATTTTGCATTAGATTCAAATTTAAGAATCACTAGGACATATCTCTTGTGCTTTACACTAAGTATTTCGTTACAGAATGAATTTAACTGGTTGGAGAGAATACTCAAACTGGGTATTATCCGTGAAATCGCGTATATTACCCGATATTAAGGTATTTTTGAATTCGCGAAATCGGGTATAGGCGGTGTAATCACCTAATGAAACTAAAACAATGGGATGGTGCATGTTGCCAAGTTGACTTTCATCTAGATACAAATGTTTTCTAAAGGTATCACTAGCCAAGTAAGAATTTGGGCGACAGGATTAATGCGCTCAGGACAACAAATACCCGTGGAGCTTACTATATTTCATGATTTGCACCAAAAAAATGCGTTCGTTTTGCTTTATATTTTTCATAATGTTAAAAATATTTGCATTTTCTTCATGTTCATACCCAACACAACAGTATTGTTAAATATCAGAATTCGGGAATTTATAATGATTCCACATCAACACGACAAACATGAACAATCTGTAAATAAATCAAATTATACGGAAACACATTTCACACACAAGATAATATGCCATGTGTAAACAAAGGACTGTCTATATATCGTATCCAATTAGGCGTCCTGAATCGCTTTCACATTCATCTTGTGCATTAAATCAAATTCATGAAAGAATGTTTAAATTATGTTATGGTAAAAATGTTTAAAATTTCGGTTAAAAATCTCTCTTTTTTAAAAAAAAAATCTTTTCTTTAATCATTCATACATATTTGCAGAATATGTCTCCAACATTTTAGCAGAGACAGTGATAATTTCAGGAATACAGCTTATGAAAGAAGTTAACTATTGATCGTTTAATTTCACCAAGTCATCAGTATTTTACCATTCCTTAGCGACTTCATGGGTGGGGGGGGGGGGGGGGGTAAAAGCTGTAACAGTTGTAACTGCTTTCTGGGTAAAAAAAATTATCTATCAATTATTCCTTGTCCGATCGCAACCTAAATCTTGGACCATCTCCGACACGTGAAAAACAACCAAGACTGCATGTGTTCAAGTGACATCTCCTTTCGCTATAACTGAGTTATATGTGATTGCGGAGTTTTGTGCTAAATGTCATTGAATGTCACGGTTATATGATTATTTAAAAAAAATCCAACATTGCCCTCTTGCGTGAATAGAATTATCTTCAAAATATTCATGCTTTAATTGTTTATCTACAGAAACAATCGAGGTAAACTAAAAGCAACCTGTTATTGTCTAGATAACACAATATGATTATACAGTATTGAAAATAACTAAAATTCGTGTTCATTTTTTAACACATAATTTAATCAAAGATGAGTATTAGAAAAAGTTATTGCCATGAGAAATAAGTATCTCAGATAAAATAACTGAAAGAAAAGAAAGAAGACAGGGGATTATTAAGTTTTTTTTCCCTGTCACGTGACATATTGTTTAGAACCAATCAGATGAGGTAATAAGAAAAGCGCTTTAAAAAAAATGAAATAGACAACAGAAGGGGAAATCTATCCTGTCTATCCTATAGTATAATGAAAAAGGAAGTTGCTACAATTTTTATGAAACATTAATGTCCGATGAGGAATTATATTCACAAGAATTAAGACAAGAGTGCCCAAGCCGCAATTGAACACTCCATTTATTTCAGTCATTTCATTAATGAAATAGTGAAAACTTCACTATGTAATTCATATTTGAGTATTACGTACCTCGATTTGTATTGGAAATGTTATTATAAGCACGTAAACCAATGTACATATTTGACTAACTTATACCCCCGAAATAAAAAAAAGAAGATGAAAATCCTTTTTACATGACTTCTCGCTCTCAATTTTCACACAAATGCACAAAATAAAGGTAAAATGGCATACCCTACATCGATCAAAATGCAACCAAAACACTTGCGGTGTTTTTGAAAGAAAATTTCCATGCTAAATTGACCAAAAATAAAAATTCTCTAAAAAAAGGCTTACCTTAAATTAGTTATTTTCAACCTGTATCGCGTGTGTATTTATTTAATCTTATTTTGATACCGAGTAAAGGTAAAAATTTGAAGCCCTTCATCGGTAACGGTAACGTCTCTACATGAGTGAAAATTCTCGAAATTAGTTGATGACACAATGGAAAAACTATTTTATGAATACTCAGCCTTGATAACTTTCTATGAGTAATATAAAAATTTTACTTGCAAATGTAATTTATCATACTCTGCAGAAACCACCCTCTAGTTTTAACAGTAAGTGAATGGGTTCAGCTACAGACACATTTTTTTTTCATTGTAGAAAAAAGGCAAAAAGGGCGTTTTGCGGGGTTTTCTCTATATCTTTCGAATACTGCCAACAAACAAGAGGGTCACTTGTGTTATAAAGACGGGCCACAGTTACCTCCCCTTGACTTCGCAACAACCTGTTATGGACATGGCTCTTATGTTATATTTTACAACGAACGATTGGATGGGACTGTTTATCCCACAGGATATGAGAAGTTGATTATAACGGAATTATGTGAAGTGGTAGTAAAAGGTTAGTTTCGTGCTTTAGAGGTCCTAAAACACATATTTGAAGTTAATATTTCTCAAATTTACCGTATAATATCATGTCTTCTATGTTCGCTGGTAGGTAAATGCTTCCTAGACAACATATAAGTGTACTCTGCGCTTTCACTTCTCTTAAGGATGTATTCTTCTGATACCCGAAAAAAAAACGTGCATTAAACTTTCCACATGCTTATATTTTTCTGAAAGTGTAATATCCAAGTAATAATTTAAAGACAAGAAAAGTGTATGTTAGTGTTCATCTAAGAGAGATTCAACTTCTCCAACATAGGCCAAAATAGAGAATGGGAAATTTCATTAAAATAGCTATTAGACCATAAAAATATTTCATAAAGTTATAAATACACTCAATTTAAACCTAATTTAGCTTAAATTTACTTGAAAGTATTGCAAAGCTAATTTTTTAAGCAAAATATGAGCAAATAAACACCAGTTAGATAACTTGTACCCAAAAATGTTGTTCACCGGTGTCAAATTTAGGCAAATTTTCCCCCATAAAATTGCTTAAAAAAAACAGACAAAAACATATTTCTACAATTAAACTTTTTGAGAAAATTGTTGTACAGAATCTTTAGGTATTATGGTTCCTTTTCATAGTGTGAAAAGTAGGGGTTAGTGTACATATAAAAAAGTTTTGATATTTTTCATATCCTCACCCTCTATTTCTTTTTCAGCATTTAATGAAAATAGTTCAAGGCATTTAGGCTTCAAAGTATGTGTTTTATTCATCAAATATTCAAAATTTGTGTGATAATTTTAGGTAATAATTGCAGTTTTGTTAAGAAAAGCTTTTTATGAACCAAAAGTAGTTATTTAACACATAAAACTTCATAATATTTTGTTAGATGTCCTCTCTTTCTCTTGCCCTGCGGGTTCTGGTTTGTGGTGTTGGATGGTGGCTTCCCTGGGATAAGTCAAATCCAGTCCCACTTTCTCAATCTGATTTGCATGGTTTTCTCCATCCGATTTTAGTGGTTCTAAAAACCTGCTCTCTTCTAAAGTTCTTCATTTGTAATTCTTGTGACAAGACTTACCTGAAAAAAAAAAATATTTTAGAAAAAAAAAATAGATTATAATTACTGGTAATTTCATTGTTCAAAAAATGTAAAATCATTATTTTGTCTATCTGACTTTGTTTTTATGAACTCAAGCCTGTAGTTTAGAATCAAATAATTTCTACATGTTCTATAATGTTTCAGAAATATTCCATTTTTTAACCCGCATAGGCCGCCATAGAATGAAGCGGCCTAGCTTCTTATCGAAAGTAAACAGCTAAAAATTATAGATGTTATCTTATTATTTTCGTTCGGTATGTCTATAAATTTGGGATAGATATTCTGCATTTACAATATCAAAGGAAATTTATCATATTCTACGAGCTGAAGTTGCTATAAAAAGGATAATACGAATGCTGTCGTCTGCACGAATCTGAAGACCCCTTATGCTTAATGTTCCGTACATGTATGTAACAGTTTATGCTATGTTTCAGTTTGGGATGTGACAGTATACTAGGTATTTTGAAACTTTTGTATCTATAATGCATAAACATTGCTATTTCAATAAGTTTGAAAGCATTGGAAACCTACATTTTCGCTTTTCAACTGCAACTGGAACGTGGTCAACACACTTCGGCGCTCTTGGCTGGCATGTTTGGGCGCCGCTTTCGAGAATGTAAATGGCCTGATTGTGATATCGGCGATTTTTTAAATGTTTTAAAATTTCTGTCGGTTGGCTCTTTTAACGGAGTGCCATTGGGCATTCCTGTCGCTTTGAAAGGGAAATCCCGTCTTCTTCCCCTCTCGATCATGTTGATTTCACTTGTCGACTTTCTTAGGCCTATGTCGTAAATATTGTAATTTTGCACACGCCTTGGTCATCAATACAACATAAAAAGATTTTTTATTTAAAAATAAATATAGTTAAACATGTAAATCGTAAAACTTTAAAAACTTGTTTGTAAATTGTTGTCATTTTGAATTTTACGACATTTTTAAGTACGAAGAACCACTTGTGGTGAAATGATCATAAAAATTCATCCTTAATTGCAAATATATGATGTCATAATTGAAATTGATGTCAAGTAACGGCAAACTTGAACTGTAATGATTGGGGGAGTGTCATAAACTTTACACCTCATCAATCTACAATACATAAATTATAAAGTTTTTGAAAGGTATAGTGTAAAATAAACGTATTTTAATCTTTTAAAAAACTCTGACGTATCCGAATATTTTTAATAACTTTGCTTTATTACTCTTGCTTAAAAGTCAGCGTGTCAAAAATATATACGAAAATGTACGTTTGACATTTACCCTTTTATATATCCCTAGATAAAATTAGAATTCATAATATGTATATAAAAGAGCCTGGTGTAGTGATTACTGAGGATTTATTTGAGATCTTTTGTGGAAATCTGTAAGAGCAGTTTTCACTTCTAAAAGGATATTGCTTGGGGAAAATATTTGATGGCTTTCTTTAAAACAGATGAAGATATTGAGTGAAAGATACCCTCAGATTTGTCGATAAATTGAAGTAATTGTGAAATACATGTACTTTTTACTAGAGTTATAACTTTACTTTTCCCAAGCCATTGCGGGTTCACTTGATTTATTCTATCTATTCCGACTTTTTGAAAATCATGTAAGAAAAGATTAGGTTTTATGTGGGCTAGGTGGATTTTTGTGTAAACAAATAATTAACCATGAAAACATAAAATAACTATGTAAACATTGATTAACAATTATTAATTAATACCTATTGGAATAGTAGACTGGTATATTTACATTTTGGAATTATAAATCAGACTTTTTACGTAAAGTTAAAAGAAAAAATAAGTGAATTAAATTGTTTGTCTCCATTAATCTATTCATGTAAAATCAGGCTATGTCAATGCTTTTTTGATAAAGCTAGTATTATTTTTTATGTTCTGGAAACAAGATACTAAAGTACATTTTCTTGTAATCCATAAATTTGAATGAAATAATTCATATTTATCATAAATTTATTTATTATTTACTGTCTTAAAATGTACAAAATGCAGGTAAATCTACGAAGGGACTTATTTATTCTAGCTAATTACTGTAAAAACAAATTAACTATCCAAACATCTATTGATATTTGCAAGTGGGAATAGGTGCAATTGAGATCTTTAAAAAGTGCGAATAGCTAGAAGACACCTTCTGGGTTAACCAGTTTATTTACGTGACAAAAATTAATAATAATTATGATTATCAGATGCGCCGAAGCAATTTATGTGAACACTTTAAAAAAAGAAAAATGACCGTAGCGAGATCAACGAGGTCATGTGATATCGTAACAATTACGATTACATGTATCCTAGAAAACAAGAACTTTCAATATTAATTGGCCGTATTTAGTACATATCTTACAAATAAAACTCAAAATTCCACCTTGCAGCGTAGTGTTACGTTTAAAACGCATTCCGAGCTTCAGGAAGCCTTAACATTACTACATTTCTATAGCATTTCACATGAAAATTATAATAAGGAAATTGATTTTATCGGGAAAATATTGAAACGACGGATTTATGGACGCGTTTTAAAAATCTTTCCACTTTAACAAAGTAAACACTTTCCTTAATTTTCGAGAAAAGTAGAAACGTTTGTGCAATAATGAAAAATATTTAACTGTAATCAAGAAAATAAAGAGTAAAAATGTTAAAAGGCAAACCAACTTGCTAGTAACTGAAAACAATCAATCAAACACATCCTGAAAATCAAAGATAGTAATCTCGATAAAGTTTCAATAATTGCCAAATAAAAAAAAATTATTATATTAAACCGATGATTTGAGAAAATATTGACTTTAAGGGCACATGTCACATGGCTCAAAAGACAGATTACGTCATAGTCTATGCTGATTGTTTGTAATTTTATTCTAAAATTGTTTTGTTAAACATTTATTTAAAAGAATATATTTAAAATGTTTAAAGCTCTTGCCAACATTTAGATATTGTGAAATTGTCAAATCCACAGATCCGTTACCCTCCAGTCAGACGTACGTTAGTGTCGTGATAGACGTAGTGTTTGAATTCTCAGTGCAGCGAGTTCAAGTACACATTAGCTAAACCTGCTATGAATAGTTTTGTTTCATAATAAACAGGTCACAGTCAATGAATTGTGATAAATTTCTGAAGGAGATTTTTTTTATAATTAATATTTTTTTCGTGTTTGGTAGCAGATATTCTTTCTTTCAGATAAGTGTGCGTGTTTATGTTTCGTTTGACGTCACAATTGATTTCCTGCAATCGGAAAATGTAAACGTATTTAGCATGTTTATGCTTACGTCTAACTCAACGATGTCCTGTGCGATATAAAGACAAGTTTCGCCTTGCAATAATTATGCAGTTAATGATAACTTATTTAAGATGAAGAATTGACATTCAATCGTAAATTTAGTAATATTTACATTGTATTGCGGATTTTTCCCCCAAAATGAGGTTTTTATTGTTGAAGCTGCGTTTAAAAATGCAGAAACTATCCCACCAAAATACTATGTTACATTAAAACAAATGCTTTCAAATAATTTAAACACTACGAATATTCTGAAAAATTTGATTGCATTTCCGACCGAACACAATCTAGCACCAGAGCGAACCAGAAGCGGACCTCTCTGGATGTGCCTTGGGTGCGCCTTGGGTTCGCTCTGCGTTCGCTCGGGGTCAGCTCTTGGTCCGCTAAAGCGAACCCGGCGGTCGCTTTCCGGGATACATGTAGCTTTACGCAAACATGCGTAAAGCGGATCCCGCTTTGAGCTCGCCACCAGTAAGACCTGCCCCTTGTATATTAAAATACAGTAAAAGACAAGGCAAGAGTTTATTCTCATAACCTCTACAAAACAGTATAGAGAGGATATTACATAAAATATTTACAATAAAGCATGCTTGAGACAAAGAAAAAGATTGAAAAACGATATTGTCACAACCCAAGAAAGCCAGCTTTCTCAATTAAATA